ATCTTTTCTTGTCATTGGATTGTCAACAAATGAATAACCGACTTTGGCGGTAAAAATTGGTTGGTAGAAGAACGTAAATGAATGATTTCTGGAGAACCTCAATAAAGCAAAAACAAAAGCAAAATTAGCAATTTTCGTGGCCTTTCATCTTATCTCCTCCGTAGAACCCTGCCTTTGGCTAACGGAAAATGGCCAAGGCGGTGGTTTGGATGCTACTAACCACCACCATCATCGTCTTCTGCTTCCTTGTTCCTAAGACACAAAACGGGACTCAATCCATCGAGGGTCTCATAAGCCGCCGCCTTGGACGCAGGCTTGAAATGCCCGTGTTTGACCCTCTTGTGACCCGAGTCGAGAGGTTGTCTCATGAAAAAGAAGCCAATACGAAGACCGCGAAGGCTGCAAAGGAGGAGCAAGATGATATGTTTGAGGAATATTTTGCGCAGGAGAGGAGAGTTAACACGACGTTGAGGATAAAGTTCTTGTTTCCTCTGCTCGACGCATCACCAAGAGATGGGTTTGTGAGCTTGAAAGAGCTTCAGACATGGATGATGCAGCAAACAGAGGACAACATGGGTTACAGAACCGCCAATGAGCTCGAGCTACAAGATAAGGACAAGGATGGTGTCGTAACTTTTGAAGAGTACTTACCTCAATTCTCTAAGCAAGACATTGGTAATTAATTTAAGTACCTTGCATTTGATTGAATTAAACACCTTTTTCGAGATCTTTCTTCTTTATTATGCAAAGAAAAAATGGAAACAGAGAAAAACGAAAAGGGTCACGGTGAAGCTGGTTGGTGGATGGAGCAATTCAACAATTCAGATTTTGATCATAATGGCTATCTCGACATTGAAGAGTTCAACAAGTAACTAATGTCTCATTTTTTCTAATCAATTTCGTTAAATATACGAAATTAAACTATTATTTGTTTTTATCACAGTTTCTTGCACCCGGAAGACAGCCGAAACGGAGACATTCAAAGATGGGTTCTAAATGAACGAATGAAGTAAGCATTTCATTGGATGTTTCCATCCTCATCTCACGAAAAAGGCTTGTTAGGATTCCCCACTTCACAAGTGCAAATATATATTTAACATCGTTCAGTCCACTTATTGTATTTTTTTTTTTTTGAAAAA